TATAACTTGTTTGGGTCTGGCACTCTAGGCAGAATGCAGCATAAGTTTAAACTTAAACAATGATTTCACAATGGTCCCCTCTGGGAGATGGTTAACTGCTTGACAGTTAAGTTTTCGTGCAGTACTTAAAAACCCCAATGGTGAGTTTTTATGAAGAACAATGGAAAATTTGAATACAAGGCTTGTAATAATTAAAAATTGATTCTTCTATTAATTTTTAAATGCTACTAAAAATCTTGGCAGTCTCTTTTCATCTTAGAAATTTTCCAAAGCAGGCATGGTGTACTGAACATGGGAAATCTTTTACTCTAATCCCCTTGGCACCAAACATTTAGGGTGACATGCACCAAATCCATTTAAGCTAAACTAATCTGATCTCACAATGGTCTCCTACGGGAATCAGTTCACCAAAGATAAAATTATTCCCATAGATGCCCATTATGAAAACAAATCAGTTTAAAGTTAAACAAATCTGGTGCATATCACCCTTTATCTGATCTGCTAAGAATGGATATTTCCATTTTTGGAATGGGTCTAGGCCTCAGGCTTGAGCCTTCCTTTTTGAACTAGATCTCATGCCATCAGGAGCAAAAATCAAGTTGCATGAGATGTAAAAACTAATTATAAAATCACTTGTCGGGAACGAATGTGTTAAACCCAATGTTTAAACCATGAAGCTAATTTCTAATATAAAGGTATTTAATAAAAACTCATCAGAAACTTACGAGATGGCAGGTAGGGGGGCATTCTGGTCTAATGGGATTTTGTCAGTGACACGATGGATGAACAGTCGCATCACCAGCTCCACCACATCAGACCATTCCTTAAAAATAGGAAAAGAAAATGCAGACAAGATATTTCAGTCTCAACAAAATGCACTATGATCAGATACTGCTAAACAGACCTCAGGGAGCTGAATCCCATTCTCCCAAATGGAGGTGAATGCTCGGAGGAGGCTTGGGTCAAGGAGTCGGTGTGGGTGATGCAAGGAGCCCACAATGTGATGCAAGAGGGTGAATGTAGCTTCATTCACACTTGTGCCATTCTCTGAGTATGAAGAAAGCAGCTCACCCAGCTGGCGGATCATGCGGCAAGTAGCAAAACTGCTCAGTGCACACAAGAAAAAAAGCTATGGGAATCAGCACATAAAAAATGAAAGGCTACTGAATATTGCAAGCCATCAGACTTGCAAAATATCCTTAAGCAGACTTTGATATGAAGGGCAATCTTCAATCACTCAGAAAAGCACTCAGTTTTCCCTTCAAATTTATATATAATTTATTGTGATGAAAATGACAATGAAAAGAACAAGCATGAACTTCATTCTGAGCATAGCAATCTGTATCAGAAGCTTGGAAAATGTATAGTTTGTCATTCCTCATGAAAAGGAAATATTATAAGCATTTAAAAATGAATTGAAGTGAACATCACTCCCACACCAAAAGCAAGTAAAGAAAATATAATCCTAAAGTTTTTTCTGCCAGAAAATGGTTGGGTCTTGCCATGATATCATTTTGACACCATGGAAATGACTAACTACTAATTTTTACTATGACAAACTATACAGCCAAAATTCAAGGCCCACTTATGCAAGTGACAATTGCCAAGCTGTGTTCCTACCATGACCTCAGTAACCACAGCAAGAAGGAAGCATCATGAGCACGCAGATAAACTTGCCTGGCCAGGTGGGGTTCAGGCTCTTGTCTAAGCTGAGAGGGGCCCAGCACCATATTGACAGGTGAAAAAATAACTATGTTCAAGGGTGGGTCTTGACTTTTGGCAAAATAGTGTATATGAGGCCTAAATTTTCATGTTTCATGAACATATGAATCTTAAAACATATATATATTGAGAATTTGGAGCTTCAAAGCCCCCAAATATAATATTGTTTGAAAAATAGCATTTATGAACTAAAATATGGGAAAGTTGATTTGATTGAGCTTATAATGCTCAGATGTACAAGTAACTTTTCCATGCTGGGTTACAATATTGAAACTTTAAAAACACCAGAAAAAAATACAAGCTATATGGTTTCTGAAATATGGAGCAATACCATCATTGAGAGACAACTACAGTATTTCACCTCAATATCATGGAATATAGCATAACTAATCAATAACCTAAAAAAGAACAAGAACCATATGTATTAGTGAAAAATATAAATTTGAGGGAAGTACTGCAGGTACTTGCTGCAGATATCTGTGTGTACATCTTTTGCAAAAGCTCGAGAGTCTCAGTGAACAATTTTCAGAGCCCTTCTTTGCCCTTTGCTCTAGCACTGGCATTCCAGTAAAATCCGCCGAAAGTTACTAACCATGGCAATTTTTTTTTATCACCAACAGATTTCCTTAAACGAAAGACCACTGAAATTTTTACCATGGGTTGCAAAATAAACATAGTTGACACCTGCAGAGTGGCCAACGATTTTGACAAGTGTTATTTGAGCTGCAGCGAAAGTTCCATTCCTTTTTGATCAGCCTAATAAAATCCACCGTATGTTACTTACCATGGCAATTTCTTTTTATCACCAACAGAGTTCCTTAAACGAAAGACTACTGAAATTTTTATAATGAATCACAAAGTGAACAGCTGACACCTGCCTAGTGGCCAATGATTTCATCAAGTAACATATGAGCTACAGCCAAAGTTCCGTTCATTTTTGATCAGTCTAGTACATGTACATTTGTAGGAGGTCAATGATCAAAACTTACAAATGTACAAGTATGTTCATAGTCCTCAAAGGGTTAAAGACACCCTTGTTAACCTCTTCCAGCATCTCTGGGTGCTGCAGCACACAGGTTGATAACTGCTGGTCTAAAAATGTTACCATGAAATTTGATGCCATGGACTGGGGCTCTAAGGAGATGCAGCAAAGCAGAATGACTAACTTTTCAAGATGGAGCCTGATGTCCAAGGGAGAAGTAACACCCTGGAGGCAGACAAGAAGGGAATGGTGGGTAGCAACCAGATCCCGTAAGCACTGCCTTGACTGCTGCTGTGGGTTCCACTTCCGGATCAGGTACACCAAGGACTCCCGCAGCTCAGACAGGTCTCCCACAAAACCTACCAATTTCATAAAACATATTTTATTATGTTATCTATTCTTAAAAGATCCTCTGATAAGATACAGACGAACCTTGAAGTTGCCTAAGAGCAAATTTCTCTTTAGTGGAAATTTGGCAGCTATGACTGTATGAGTCCAGTGCTTGCAGAAACTCCCTCAGTGCAGTCACTAGCTATAATAATAAAAAGTAGGCTAAACATGAAGGAATTTAAAGGAATTGTAAGTAGATTTTTTGATCATATACCAGATGAAGGCGTCGTTGTATTGGCAAGGGGTCACCACCCGTGAGAAGTGATGCGCGTCCTGCCTCTTCACTCAAATTCATACTTTGAAATGTGAGGTAACTCAGCAATTGAGGAGATAGGACTTGGCTGTAGAGAAACATGCAGAAACATGTAAATAAGGCATGAATCAAGGGTATTTCCATGAAATGCCTTCATTATGATAACCTGAGATGGGAGAAGTCCACATGTAACTGAGGGACAAACTTGAGGAAGTATGTGATAAGCCACAGGAAGTGGGCTGAGTCAAGGGATGATGCCTGTGCAGAACCTAAAACCTCTGTCAGGCTGTGAAGCAGTGGGCCATACCTGCACAAAGACATATAGTAGATATTTTTGTATTTGCTAAGCACTAGTCAATACAAGACTCACTTATGACCCAGGAAATTTATCTTTATATGCAAGATATCAAAACTGGAGGAAAAAAAAGTCATAATCCTGAGACAGCCACATCCCTAGATACTCAAAGTTATGCACATACCCACAGAAAAGGAATTCAACAGTGAAATCCCGTAGAAGATGTGAGATGTCCTCATTGGACCGGGCCTGGGCAGGATTGTTGCCAATACGCCGGCGAATGTGCATCTTTCTCCGTCGGATGAGCTGGAGGTAGCGGGGAGGGCGCTGCTTCATGGGATGTGGTGGTGGCTGTCGACTGCGGGCACAGTGGAGGGTCATGTCCTCCTCATTGCTTGATGGGGAGTCACGGCATTCATTTCTGTGACAATAGTTGGTACCCTTGTCCTGGCTCAGTACCATCACCAGGCTTCTCTCTTCTTTCTCTTTACTAACTATTCCCACTTCCAGTCCTCCTTCTCCATATCCTTTCTCCAGCTGTACCTCCTCATCCTGATTTAAAACATATATTGAGAAAACTGTAAGTTTTAACCCTTTAATTCATCTTTAGTCCAATTGGACACAGATTGAATTGTTCATTGCTCATTTTTAAGAACAATTCCCCATTTTCATTCACAAGACACTGATCTAAAGCAGGAGATTCATTTGCAGGGAAAATGTAATCATGGCAACCAAGCAGTTGCCTAATTACAGCTGATATCATTTGAAACATATTGAAATTTGAGGCTAATTCACACATTGGGTGATGCTAAACATTTTTTAACATTTTGGCAGACAAGAGGGCTATAGCCATAATATTTGTTAGCTTTATGTGCAACAAGATGGCAATAAGTGTCCATGTCTCTGATGGTACTATATCAGTGGGAAAATGTGTGGGATGTAACTGACTAGACTTGGAATGTTATCACATTTGAGCCCACTTGAAATACAGCAGCATGTTTTGGGGATTACAAGCCAAATTCAGGTGTCTGCAAATGTGTTAATGTTAAAGAAACCTAGAAAAAAAACATGCAGAAAAATTAGATATTGACATGGTTAAACAGGCACAACACACATGCATCTACCAGATTGATCCCTCAAGTCAGTTCTGCATACATACAGGGTGAGCTAGAAATAAAGTCCAACCTTTTTCATATGATTGTTATGTAATAACAAAAATAATTATGATATAACAATGTAATAACTAATATGGGTTCATGTAATTTAAAGGATAAATAGTACTCCTCTTTCCTGATCTGAATTAATTTGTTCCAAAAGGAGTAGGATAAATAATTCTACATATTCTTTTTTTAGATGATGAGGTAAGATAAAAATTGTAGTCAAAGGTGCTTAATTACTTTAATATGATGGGATAAACATCCTTCAAGTACATGGCTTGTGGTGGGCTAGGGTGACACCATTTTTTTTAAAAGGAGGGCATATTGAACATCACTTTCGAGTAATTAAAATCTTACCTTTAGTTATGGTTGCTGCAATCTAAGCTTTTAATGAATTCCTCATTGAAAAATAAGAAATTATGGATGTCTATCCTAGCTCTTGTGATACTTTTCCCCCTGTGAGCACTCATCGCAAGCATCAAGTGTATCAGTAGCATGGTTTCTCCAAGACATGCATCATGTGTTTTCACACTGTGATTATTTCTGATAATATGATTACAGTCAGGACAAATATCACTAGATATTATTTATAATAACATTTAATGTTAAACTGGGGGGGAAGAATTACAAATGACAAGGCAATACAGTGCAGATGTGCATGATATGACTTTTATTTCCTCACCTTGACCAAGGAGGCAAGACCACTGTCTACCTCTGAGGAGTCATCAACCAGGTGCTTCATCTTCTCTCCTTCCTCTTCTTTTTCTGCTTCTTCTTCCATCTGATCATCCAGATGTACAATTGAGGCTAGCATCAAGAATCAACTGAAGCATGTCTCAATGGAGTCAAGAGACATTAAGACTCACCTTTTCATTGAAACAGGTGGAGGAAGAGTTGAAAAACATGGTTTGCTTCCCCAACTTGGACCAGGTATTGTCATCTGGTAAAACTAAGAGGTTCACCTGTGTCTCTCCATCAACCTGTGTGGGAGGATTTTGTGAAATCTTAATGAATTGACACACATTCCTTGTGCTTTTTAAAACAGATTGGAGGCTCACATTTTCTTCACTGCAGCTCTTGTAATCTTGAAGCCTGAGATCATTGTCAGAGGATTCTGTGGACAGTGGGATGTCTGAGTGACCTTGGTTCCCATCCTCCTGGCAATTTGCAATATATCCAGCATCAGTCCCCAATACATCAAAAGCATTCAGATTTTTTTGTACTTCATGAAAAATCTTGCAATTATAATTGTTATACAGTGTGTCTGTGAAAGGTCTGAAATAAAATAAAAAATTCCTGTCTCTGGAATGAAGTAATGTATTTTTTAAAGGTTGGTACACTTACCAAGTTTTCTTAGGGAGTTAATCAATTTCAATGTGCACACCATTTTGTAGCTTGGCATATGTCCAATTGGTACTCCACCTTGTGCCAGGTGTTTGTCAGCATAGCAGGGAAAACAGTGTTGACTGCAGCAACACTCCTGTCGCTTAAAAGTGTCATATTCTTAATCTTAACCTGATAAACAATGTATTTCACATAATCCCATAGGAAAATATCTTGCTGGAAGGTTGTGTCATCAGGCAAATGCGAGAAACCAAAGTTTTTTAACATGTCCTGATATGAAGGTGAATTGTCATGACAACAATGTCTGGGGGAGAGAATCCACATGCAGTTATCAAGAATGATTGAGACTCTCCAGATGTGAATGTATCATGTGGTGTTATGAAGGACAGAGTGATTGGGCCATTCTTTTTAGCCAAACCAACTAAGAATACTGCTACAGAACAGGACATGTCAAAACTTTGGAATCTCACAGTTGCATGATGGCACAATCTTCCAGCAAGATGGGGCACCCCTGCACTTCTGTAGTGATATGCATGCATTTAAAACCAACTAAGAATACTGCTACAGAACAGGACATGTCAAAACTTTGGAATCTCACAGTTGCATGATGGCACAATCTTCCAGCAAGATGGGGCACCCCTGCACTTCTGTAGTGATATGCATGCATTTTTGGACCAGCATTTCCTGAACTGTTGAATTGGAAAAGGTGGACCCATTACCTGACCCCCACAGTCACCTGACTAAACACTGCTAGACATTTTCCTATGGGATTATGTTAGAGACATTGTTTATCAAGTTAAGATTGAGAATATGGCATTTTTAATCCTTTTTAGTGCAGCATTTTTTGGCCATTTCTACTACTTTAAAAAATGCTGTAAGCTAATTTTTATGCCATCTAACAACAAGAACCCCAACTATGAGAAGGAAGAAACCTAACAAAAAACCATGGCTGAAAAATCAGGCATTGGCATGGCATTTTTAGCAGAAGTACACAGCACTAAAAGGGTTAAGCAACAGAACTGTTGCTGTAGTCAACACTATTATCCCTGCTATGCTGACAAACACCTGACACAAGGTGGAGTACTGATTGGACATGTGCTGAACTGCAAAAGGTGCACACATTGAGACTGATTAGCTCCCCAAAAAAAACTTGACATGTGTACCTACTATTTGTTGTTAAACTTAAAAAAATATATCACTTCATTCCAGAGATATGAATTTTTCATTTAATTTCAGACCTTTCTCAGACACTCTGTATATAGGAATTGGCATTGTACAGGGTGACACAAAAGTTCTGTACACTTAAAAAAACCATTGCTGGTTCTGAGCTAACGTGCTCAAAAATATTTAGTTTGGTTTCTATATAAAGCTTAAAGTATGAGGGACTTAATTTCATCAGCACTTTGTAAACCCCTCTTGGTTTCATCACGTCATTGCCCAATGAAGATCATTGGTCTGCTGTTATCAGTTTGCATGAAGCCAGAAAGTCTCCCTCTTNAAACCAACTAAGAATACTGCTACAGAACAGGACATGTCAAAACTTTGGAATCTCACAGTTGCATGATGGCACAATCTTCCAGCAAGATGGGGCACCCCTGCACTTCTGTAGTGATATGCATGCATTTCTGGACCAGCATTTCCTGAACTGTTGAATTGGAAAAGGTGGAACCATTACCTGACCCCCACAGTCACCTGACTAAACACTGCTAGACATTTTCCTATGGGATTATGTTAGAGACATTGTTTATCGGGTTAAGATTGAGAATATGGCATTTTTAATCCTTTTTAGTGCAACATTTTTTGGCCATTTCTACTACTTTCAAAAATGCTGTAAGCTAATTTTTATGCCATCTAACAACAAGAACCCCAACTATGAGAAGGAAGAAACCTAACAAAAAACCATGGCTGAAAAATCAGGCATTGGCATGACATTTTTAGCAGAAGTACACAGCACTAAAAGGGTTAAGCAACAGAACTGTTGCTGTAGTCAACACTATTATCCCTGCTATGCTGACAAACACCTGGGTGTTCCACCTCATGACTAACCTGTACACGACTTGACGTTTTCCACGTGTGTAACTCTGACTAATCGAGGGGTTTTTTTTGAACTGTACACATGGATGATAAACAACAATTTGAATTTTTTTATATACACTTCATTCCAGAGATATGAATTTTTCATTTAATTTCAGACCTTTCTCAGACACTCTGTATATAGGAATTGGCATTGTACAGGGTGACACAAAAGTTCTGTACACTTAAAAAAACCATTGCTGGTTCTGAGCTAACGTGCTCAAAAATATTTAGTTTGGTTTCTATATAAAGCTTAAAGTATGAGGGACTTAATTTCATCAGCACTTTGTAAACCCCTCTTGGTTTCATCACGTCATTGCCCAATGAAGATCATTGGTCTGCTGTTATCAGTTTGCATGAAGCCAGAAAGTCTCCCTCTTAAATCTTCTGGCTGCTCCAGAACAATGGCTACAACAGGAACTTCATCAAATTTACTATCAAGTGGTTCCTTGAGACAAACTCTCCCGAGCATCATCATCGATCAGGTTGAACAAAGTCTGTGTTAACCACTGTCAACATCAAAAGAGTTCAATCTTGACTTCGTAAAATTCTGAAGCAATCACAGAGAAAAATGGCCCAAACAATGAAGATAAATCGTGAATTGCTCTGGTGAATGGTCAAGAAGAAGCTGAATCTTCAGTCTTTCAAGTTCCATAATGTTCAATTTCTCACTGAACAAGCAAAGAAGACTAGGCTGCAACAATTGCAGTCACTATTCTGTCGGTTCGCAAATGGCAGCCATTGCAATATCCTCTTTTCTGATGAGAACGAGAAGTGTGTTAACTCGTTAGGAAATTGAGAGTTTTTCTGGCTCATACCCGTCCTCTCAGTAGTCCGTCGAGAGGTCTGGAGACAACACAATGAGTGTGAGTCTACGGTCGAAGACACTACTACGGGGCTGGTATCACTGCAGAGATGCGCGCACCACTGGTTTTTCATGCCTTCTGGTATAAAGATCAACATGACTGTCTACCATGACCTCATTTTGAAGGGTGCAGTAAAGCCCTGGGCCAAACAGCACTTTGGGAACCACAAATAGACTTTTCAACAGGTCTCTGTGCCAGCCCACAAGGAAAAGATCACCCAGGCCTTCTGCAAAGCAGAATTCCCTGACTTCCATCACCTCAGCAAAATGGCCTCCATATAATATAGTCTCGACCTGAACTCTGACTTTTCTTTGTGGAACATCTTGGAGAACAAAGCTTATGCTACTCTACATGCATCGGTCTAGTCCATGGAGCATGCCCTTCAAACAGAATGGCTCAAAATCTCCAAAGAAATGTTGCATGCTGCAGTTGATGCTTTTCAAAAAAGACTTCGCAATTGTATGAAAGCAAAAGGTGACCATTTTGAATGATTTTGCTGATATTATCTGTTGAAACAGTTGCAGTTTCTAATAGTGTTGTCCCCATTTGTTAGCTGTTTAAAGAAATTATAAAATGTTGAGGAAACTGAGTATACAGAACCTTTGTGTCACCCTGTATAGTATGTACTGAAACAGGGAAGGCCAAACTTCCTGATTTTATCTGATCTTATGAGCTACATAAAATCTTCTTATGGTCAAGAGCCACAAGACACACCACGTTACACATGCATTGCCAAGACTCTAAAGAATGCATGTGTAGGCTCTAGTCTGAACCATTTCACTGCAAGCCACACTTGCCACAACTGCCCAGGGGCCATAGTTTGACCACCCTTGCACTATGAAATACTCAATAGTAATGAGAACCCATGATGTCCCATCAGTCTGGAAACATTGGCACATAGATATACACTGACTACTGTTCCATTTTCAGGAACTTGTTAGTGCCTCTTGTTTCCCCAGCTACATTGTGACTTAGCATCTATTCACTCACCTTCAGTAGTGGCATTTATTCAACTTACATCATTTGAAATATTAAGGAAATACACTGCCCATGGTTTCAGACTCAAGGGGTACTATGCATTACCCCCCAGTATGGCACCACCCTTGCTTATCACCAATCTCTTCCTGTGTAAAAATCCCCCCATAAGCTCCCACATTAGGGAGTGCACAGGGTGTTCGTATTTAAATGCAACATGGGGAAATTTTTGCCACCTGTTTGTGGAGTTCAGTGTGTGCCTTACAGCTCACCAGGTTGCATATCTGGAAGGATGAAACCTATCACTGGTGTGTTTCCTTGCACATAGGCAACCCAGTGGGTCTTATAGTGTTCACCAACCTCCACCTACAGGTGGCAAAATATTCCCTATGTTGTGTTTAAATACAAACACTCTGTAGTTAACATAACAGCACCACCCTCATAACATCAAAATCAGCAACAACCAGCAGCGGCATCCAATCAAGGATTGATTGTACATTAGTTTCTGATCACTCACTAAACATTTCTTGAATTCTTCTCTAGATCCAATCTACCTGTTGATAACAGCTTATGCATTGTTATTATTCTATATTATTTTCAAAGGTCTTCCAAGCATCAATGCCATTTGTGATGTGGAAACTGACCTGAGGGGAGGTGTTGCTTTCATCATCATCATCGTCTGAGGTGTCATTGGGATCTTTCTCCATCCACTGAGCAATGAGTTTTTGAAGGATACCCACCTCTTGGTCTCGATACAAGATGGCCACCAACTCAGCCACTGACACACACCATGTTCCCTTAAAAAAAAAATATATATATATATATATATATAT